ATGTTTTCGAACATAGCTGTGTCCCTTAATCTGAACTTGGGTGCTTGTTTCATCAAGGTGAAAGACTATGACAAAGTGGGTCAATTATGTTCCGCGGTTTTGTGTTTTGATACTACTAATCTGAAAGCTTATTTCAGAAGAGCGATTGCGGCGTTAGGACTTCATAAGCCTACCTTAGTTTTCATGGATCTTGCACAACCCCTTAAGTTAGATCCTAAAAACAGTGAGTTCCAACAAAAACTAAAGGAAGTGATATCCTTATTAGGTTGGTCTCCGGATTTTGTTGATGAGGCACTTGCAATAACACGGCAGAATGAGAAGTTTAGAGATTATGTTCATTGTAGGAAGGAAGATAAAGGTAGGAAGTTAGGGAAAAAAGGGAAAAGAAAGGAAGAAGATGGTCGTGGTGATGGTCATGTTCGTAGGTATATAGGTGTGAAGGATGACACCAACATGGGAAAGAACGTTGATGGCAATTCTTTGGATTTGGAGGGCAAAGTCAACCCTACCAACCAGGATCTTAGGCCCAACGTTATAGATAACAATTGTGATCTGAAGGGAACTTCAGAAACAAAAAACTCAAATCTGACAGGGTCAAGTTTTCGGTTCTCAAGCCGAAAGCGATATGATTCCTATTTGCATCTCACTCCAACAATGTATGGAGCGATTTCCAAAGGGCGAACAATACAATACTATTGTTCTCTCCAAAAGAATTTCATTACCATCCGAGTAGCCAATCATGTAAGGAAGATGGATAGTGGTGTAACTCAAGAAAGTTCTACACCAATGGAGTTTAGTCACCCCCCTGTGGAAGGGCACGATAGGTGTGAAACAACTCCAAATTTGGTTCAAGAAGATTCCGCCATAGATATGGCAGGTCAAGAGTCATCATGTGAAGCTACATCGACACTCCTACCAATTTCGCCCGTTTCATCCCTTCTGCAAACATCCGTTCACCCAACTGCGTCTTCTTCTGAATTTTTGTTGGGTTCTGTCTCGTCTCCTTGCCCCCGGTTTCGAAGGAAAAATGTCCCTCTGCAAAGTAGGTTAAGCGGCTCTAAAAAATGTCTCGTCTTCCGTGTTTTTTACTAACTCTTTGTTTTGCAGGTTAAGCGGCTCTAAAAGAATTGCATCTTGCCCCATCGAATATACTTGGTTTCCTAATCGTAAGAAGTTGTATGGTCCGACCCTCAATGTCCTATCGTGTAATCTTGTTTTCTTTGCTTAGTTTAGATTGTAATTTTGCTTTTCGTTTATAGAACTCTTTGTCAAAAAAAATAAAAAAAAATCTGGCGCAAGACAAGCAATATATTATCTTCATACATCACACATTCAGATAATCAATACATAATCAACTACTTTATTTGCACGTTAGTCATGATGTACTCCTAGTGTTAACATGATATATATAATCGCACGTTAGTCATGATGTACATAATCAACCTATGTGTAACGTTACTCTCCTGCACGATGAATAATTAAATAAGAAAATTTAAGTTTTTTTTTTTAAAAAAAAAAAAAAAAAAAAATTTCAATTCTCCATTTATATGGAGTAATTCGGAAAATTTACATTAAAAACAAATTTAACAAGATCTTTTAATCTGCAATGTAACTAGTTCTAACGTGATTTGTACTTATATTGAAATTTTAGATTTTCTTGAATTGAAATTGTATATAAGTGTCGTTTGATTATCTTTTATTAATGAAATCTTTTTGTTTTTGTCAAAAAAAAAGGCGGGTCAATGGTGGAAATCTGGAAAATCGAGATTGTATTTTACAATATTTTACGTTTTATTAGTTAGCTTTTAACAACATTTTATATTTTATTAGGTATTTCCTTACAATATTTTATTTAGTTATTTATTAGGTAGGTTTTTACATGCAAAATAGAGCAAACCCACAATGCTCATAAACTGTAGATTTTAATGAAATCAACTGCGAATGAATTCCTAAATGAATTGGATAGAAAATATCGAAAATAGCCAAATTTGTAAACCTGATAAAGAAAAGAGAAGTGTTGGAGTTCTAATTAGAAGTATATTAAAAATAAAGCGGCTAACGCGTGCAATGTCATATAAGTTTTTTAAGTTAATTTAAATTAGGTCATGTTTGGTAAAAGTAGCGGGTAGCTTTTAGCGGTCGAGTAGCGGGTAACTGTTAAGGTAGCGAGTAGTGATTAATTAGTAGTGGGTAGAGGTTAGCTGTCAAATTAACGATTGATAGTTTGAGTGTTTGACAAAAGTAGTGGGTTGCAATAACAAAATATATCAAAATTCATATATATTGCATTAAAATTAATAAAAATTTGCCAAACGCTACTTGCTACTTTTAAATGCTACTATTTTTAACATTTGAGAAAAGCTACCTAAACGCCACCTCTATCGCTAACTGCTACTAAAATCGCTACCTTGCTAAACACTCTCAAATTTTTTCTAATAGTGTTTTGATTTGACTGGTCAAAACGCTAACCGCTACCTCAAACGCTACCTCCAATAGGGCCTTAGCTACTTTGAGCTCTAATGACTAGCTATTTACTTTCTCTGTCCCTGAATAACTGGCATAATCAACTTTTGCACACATGCCAATGCATTAATTTGACCTTATTTTTATATAATTAGATATTAAAGAAAATTATATTAAAAGTCATACTTGTATTATGAAACTTTATATTAATACCTATCTAAAAACATATTTTGTCAAGTTTTTATTACGTTAGTATAATACTCCCTCCGTCCCCTTTTGATAGTCTCTTTTGGGCATTTTTCACGAGAATTAATAAGCACAAATAAGAATAATAAAAGTACATTGAAAAAGTAAATTGACATTGGGTATGCAAAAAAGTAGGCCAATTGACCAGATTGGTAAATAAAAAATACCCTTAGTGACAAATTGGTAAAAAAACTTAATCCGGCGAAAATTTGGTAAAAAAAGCTAAATATATGCGACAATTTGGTAAAAAAAAACTCCGGCGACATTTAACCCAAAAAATCTTATTTTTGTCGACAAACTCTATAAAAATCTTAATTTAATTTGGTTTTTGTGTTTTTAAATTTATTTTTCCCATGTAAGATTTTGAATTACTATGCCATCCCCTTTTTATTTTGCTAAATCCCAATACCAATTTTTTTAACCCCTTTTTAAAAGAATTTCGTTAATAAGGGGTATGAAACTTAAGTGAAATTGATACTTCAACATTATTTTTTTTTTGAAATTTATTTCCAATAAAAGGGTTAATAAAAAAACATGAAAAACGAACTAAATTAAGTATTCGTGAGTACTTTGTCGGAAATTTTTGAATTTTTTGGGTTAATTGTCGCCTGAGATTATTTTATTTACCAAATTATCGCTTAGAGTTATTTTTTTTACCAATTTGTCGTCAGAATTATATTTTTTACCGAATTGTCGCTAAGAATCTTTTTTATTTACCCATCTGGTCAATTGGCCAAAAAAGTAGAGAGAGAAAATAATAAAAGTACATGGGAAAACAAAATTTACATGAAAAAGTTAAATTTGCACAAATATTGTTGCAAATTGGAGGGAATTTCGGTAAAAAAATTAATATTAATGGTTGTTGGAAAAAGCAAATGGGGCGAACATTTTGGGACTAAAATTTGTCCATAAGAGACTATCAAAAGGAGACGGATGAAGTATGTGAACAGTGCTATATTATTCTATCAGAGAGAGTACTATTTATGAAATGACTTCCAATAACTTATTTTATTTTATTCTACTATTAATGCAGTTTTAAATTAAAAATTTGAATAGGATCGGAATGCGTGTTGATCCCAAATTTTGAAAATTAGATAATACACCCGGGTGCACCATGTTCATGGTGCACCCGGGTAAACAAAAAAGGCGGAAAGAACATATAATGTTTGATAAAGAACATACCTATGTTTGACAAAGAACATACCTTTAATATGTTCTTTGAGTGTGATCAGTGTGTTCTTTGAGTAAAATTATATGTTCTTTACATTATAACTTATGTTATTTAACATATATTTTTTTTGGGTTTAACAATACAAAGTATGTTCTTTGAATTTGGCGTGTATGTTCTTTAAGGTCGTAATGACGTCCAAATTCTATTTTTATTATCATATGTCATATTTAAATTACTTTTATTATCATATATTCTTTGAGTTTGATTAGTGTGTTATTTAGGTATTAACTATATGTACTTTACAATATAAATTATGTTCTTTTAACATATGTTATTTTGAAATTTGATATTGAAATTTTAAATTATTTTTAATTGAAAATAATATTAGAGTAAAAAAACTAAATTATTATGGGAAGTTGAATTTTTTTTGGAGAGATAGAAAACTATTTTTTGGGGAAATGATATTTTTGGTAAGGATTTTTTAAGAGTTGATCAACATTGGCATGACTCGCTTTCCGACCCGATCCGGCCCGAAATAGGGTGGGTTTAGGCAAACCTAAAAATGCATTTTTAGTTAAAACTCGAACCGGGTTCGAAAAAAGCCCAAAACCCGCTACTTTTCTACGGGGTTTGGGCACGAGAAATTATGATATGGCCCGACCCTACTCGATTTTTTATCACCTCTAAATTTTTTCCGTTAATAATGTGTAATTTTTCAGAAAATTTTATTAAGTTTTTATCTCGTTCTTTTTATTATATCTTTATGTTCTTCGGTAATGCATGTTTTTGTCAAATACAAACATGTTCTTTGTCAAATACATTTATGTTCTTTATGAAACACAGGATGTTCTTTCCGCCTTTTATTTATTTATCCGTGTGTATGATGAGCATTGTACACCCGTGTGTATAAACCACAGATTACCAAATTCCCAATCGAGAATGTCAATTAAATAAAGAATAAAATCCAGATTTGTATAACCGTAAGTCATATTGAGCTGGATGCCGACGACTAACCAACAATAATTTGTACTTTATAATAATAGGTTGCATGCAATGAAATCTTACTAGTTACTATAAATAGGGTTCGGGTTGTAGGGTTAGAGGCATCCTCATTAAAAACTACTAGAGTTATTAAAAAAAAAGGCAAATAACTTTTTTAATCTTCTAATAGTAGCTACTTTACTAAAATCCCAAAAATGGAGGGCAAGAAAAATTATGTATTAAAAGTATTTGTCGTTCTTGCATTAGGTAATTTTATAATTATGCTTCGTAACTATATTTCTAAATTAAAATTGTATTGAGTTGAAATTTTATGAAAAAAATAAAATTACGACGTTATTAATTATATGTTTGTTATTAAAATCTACAAAGTATTTTTTACTAGCCAATATTAATTTTGGAATTTTGGTATGTATTGATAAATTTAAATTGCAGTGCAAATGATGATGGTTGGAAAAGTACAAGGATGTGCTGGTGTTGGAGAAGGTTGTGGGCTTTTAATTGGTGTTGTAATGGAGGTTCATGTTCAGATTCCTTGAGTGGAGGTGTATGTGTATATGGTAAGCCTTAGCAAAGCCCCTATTAAAACGTCTATATCGATTTAGCCCTTTGTTATACTCCGTATAACATATATACAGAGTAAAATGTAACATTATATATACTACCTTCGTTACAGGTTATGTGCAACGATTTGACATAAAGCAGAGAGGGAAAATGTCTAATCGTTGCACATAACCTATAACGGAGGTAGTATAATACTCGGTACGTACGCACAAATTGAAGATAGTAATGCACGCTTCTGATGAGTGGGATGTTATTTTTGCAGACTCATTCTCAGGTTGCAAGGGGCTTGGGGAAAGTTGTGGATTTTTTGATGCTCCATGTTGTGGAAAGAGGGTTTGTTCAGCCACCCTTTCGGGTGGCACTTGTTCAGACTAACTGCGACGTCCAAAATCTTCAACAATATATTCTCAATTAATCATCATGTCATATTTAAATTGTTGCGTGTATTTCACTTTTATTTCCATTTTAATCCCACTACTCAAATTGTAATTCTCCCTGGATTTGATTCGGAGTGCATAATAATAAGTTTTTTTTTAAGTATTAAGCATCGTTATCAATCTTATCATTATTACTAAATTGTACGGAGTACTCCGTATTATTTGCCAGATTTGCCACTGTGTATTATTCCACATAAACAGAATCAGCATTCATAGCTGCCGTCCGTCAAATCTGGCTGAAGACGAGCAATATATTGTCAAATCTCACAGATTATACATTCATCAGATAATCAATACATTTTCAGCTCCTTAATTCGATCATACTGTATGGTATATGTATATTGTATATAAATATACACATTAATGCTCAACCATTCTTACTTTATTTTGTCAAACCTACTCTGACGTACTCCTAAGTCCAAATACTCGTATAGATTGAAATAAATTTATAAAAATTTCTAAGATTTATTATGAGTAGGTTTATTTCTTAGGCAAGTTTAGTCGAGTTGATTTCATGTTGGGAATCTTAACACTAACAAAACCTGTTTAACAATTTAAAAAGTAAATGTGAGGTGTCATGTTAACATGATTAAATCAAACGTATTGAGAACCTTCGACAATAACTCAATATTTTCGTGTCTAATTTGTGTCGTGTCAACTTTAGGCACCTCTATTTAATTTCAAATAGGTTTACTCCCAAATACGAAGTACAAATCACAAAATTAAATAAAGTCAATAATAAAAATTTGAGATAGTCCAAATTAAAGTCAAAACAAACTAACATAAAACGGAGGAATTGAAGTACACGCTACTATATTCATTAGGTATATAAAACTTTGACTACAATATTTCACTAAATTATTAAAAATATATATTAGGAAACAGATGTATGCATGGTAGACCATAGGGCTACATATAATTAGAAGATAAAATTGGAAACAATAGGCATAATACATTATCATGCAAAATGTCCGTATTAAATAGGTGTTAATATTAAGTTTCATAACATCACTTTTAGTCAAATGGTGCACTAACAAGTAACAAGTATATCAACTTTGATTGTGTCAATTATTTAAGAATCAAGTTAATATAAAATAATAGTTAATGCATTTCCCTACCTTATAAAAAGTATGTCAACTTTGATTGTGTCAATTATAACTCTTAGGAATAGTGTGCTACCTATGTACAAAAATGTGTATTTACTTTTTTACCCTCATTAATATATTTAATGCTTTTTTTAATCATTAACATATCATCAATTCATTCAAAGTTGTTTCCAAAAATAAAAATAAAAATTGGGTCAACAAAAAAGTCCCTCGCTTAGGGTTTCGCAGCAGTCCCTCCTAGGGCGTAGTAGTTGAGTCGAGTTAGTATTTCCTAGTAATTTCCCTCCTATTTCCATCAATTTCTTGAATTACATTCATCTTTTTACTCTGTTTTGCTTTGATTTTCGATATGGCACATGATCTGGTGAAAGAATGGGAGAAATTAAAATTAACAGAAGACGAAGATGCGGTGATTGGGGCTGAATCCCTCGAGGCTGATATAGGAGAACAAAATGTGCAATTGAAGTTGACTTTGGTAGGGAAATTATGCACGATCAAACCCTATAACTCTGAGGCGATGAAACGAACCCTACAAACAGTTTGGAGTCTGAAGGAAGTTGTTGCAATTAGGGTCGTGGAAACCAACTTGTTTGTTTTCCAATTTTTCTGTGAGACTGATTAAGATCGTGTTATCGAGGGGTGTCCATGGTTCTTTGATGACAAGGTTCTGTTGATGAAAGAACTCCGGGGGGATGAACAACCCTCTGAGATCTCTTTTACCCATGCTCCAATGTGGGTTCGATTACTTGACGTTCCTTTTAATAGGCGTAATGCTGCTACGATGTATGATGTCGGAGAATTTCTTGGTGGTTTTATTGAACTAGACGAAGATGATCCTTTGGGATTGAGTGAATTCGTTCGACTAAGGATCAATGTTGATGTTAGGAAGCCTTTGCGAAGAGGATTTAAGCTAGCCACGGGTGTTAATTCATCAAAGTGGATAGACATGAAATACGAGAGACTGGCAGATTTTTGTTTCTTCTGTGGGATGCTAGACCACACGGATAGAGACTGTCACTCCAAAGAGCTTGCAAGGGCAGAAGAAGAAGAATTGGTATTTTAGTACGGTCCATGGCTGCGTGCAACTCCCAAAAAGAAAATAAAATTCAATATGTTCGAAAGGGAGAAGGAAAGAAAGTGGAAAGAAAATCTGAGTACTTGTTCATACACCAAACCAAAGAATTTTAATGATCCTGGTGTTATCAAACTCGGTCCTCCAGGGGCTGCTCGAAAATTGTGCTTTGGTTCCCCAAAATCCCTTTTTTTGGGTAATGAACAAGTCCACACTCAATCTGCCAGACAAGTACGCTTGGTACCTGAGAAGGCTGAAGGAAGCTCTATGATGGTCTTAAGATCAAAGAGCATTGATCAGAACAATAAAGCTGCCCCAATTCAAAACACTAATCTGGTGGATGGAAACTACGATGAGAACATGCCTGATCGGATTCAAGACTTCAACTCAGAAGCTACTGCTGCCAAAGTCATTCCTACTAGAAGCACCTCCCTTGACAATATCACCACGAGCAATGTTGTGCCTTCTGACCCGATGATCAATACGACGGGGGTTGAAGACAGACCAGTTAAAGAAAGAGGATGGAAGAGAAAGGATAGAGCTGCTATCTTGCGAAGCAAGGAAGCTACTGCTGGGACTCAATGCGCATTATCTTCAACCAACCGTAAAAGAAGTGTTGAAGTGAAAGAATCGAACAGTGAGAAGATGAAGAAAGTGAAGCTAGTTGACTCTTAGACCGGAGACGGAATAAATCAAGTAGAGGGTGTTGGCTGCAACCAACCCCTCGAAAAGCCATGAATACTCTATGCTGGAATGTTCGAGGGCTTGGCAATCCTCGAGCAGTTGGTGCACTCCGGAAATGGTGTGCTTCTCTTGCCCCTAATCTTGTTTTTCTTTCCGAAACTAAAATCAATAAAATTGCTGCTGAAAATGTAAAACATAGATTAGGCTTTGATTGTGCTTTTGGTGTTAGTAGCATAGGGCTCTCTGGTGGTTTATGTTTGTACTGGAACAATAGCTTGTTAGATTTTGTGCTTGTTCCTTCTCAGATCACCACATTTATGGAAAAGTTATTGTAGACACCCATTTGTGTCTCCCTAAAACCAAACCTAGTGATGAGTACCTTTCGCATCGAATCATAATCGGATGAAGCGAAAGTGTGGAAAGTTTAGTGTTGCGGAAGGTTTTCATTTCTTTTCTCTGTTTTTGAAAACTTATTTTAAGAAAACAGCCAATCCAGTTCGGTTGGTCCATTATATGGGTCTAATAGTAGTGTAGTTGGATGGGGCTTTCCAAGAGCTTTCCAACGATATATTATAAGCCCAATTCCGATGAATATTGAGGAAGTTATGACCAATTTACTAAACTTGGCCCGATTTGAGCCTTATGTACGGCCCAATGATCTAGGGGAGGGCCTAATATGATTTATCATTCCTAATGCAATTAGGAATGGTTTTAGTCTTCTAGATTCTTCTAGAATGTTCAATTCATTCCTAATTCAATTAGCATTGATAAATTGAATTTTGTTGACTTTTCAGAGTTTTAATTAAGATCAAAGAGCATTTTTGAGGAAAGATACGATTTTATCCTCTAGTACGGCAAATTTATCTGATTTTCGAAAACGCGTCAAAAACAGGACTAGCGCCTGACGCCCGGAATTGGCGCCTGACACTAGGACCTGGCGCTGGCATTGGCGCCTGGCGCCAATTAGCTGGTGCTGGCGCCAGCTCTGTTTTTTGTGCGCCAATGCTCTGTTTTGTTAATTTTATCTTTTTGGCTGATTTCTCTATAAATAACGTATTAAAAACTCCGTTTTCATTCATCAACAATCAGTTTTCAATTATATTCACCTACAACCAGTTTTCAATTCTCTTTCATTCTCTTTAATCATTCGCTAATTCTCATCAAGTTTTCTTTAATCATTCACCATCTCTTTCTTTCTCTTTTCTAAAAACCTAGCTTTTACATACAAAATTCCGCATTTGCATGACTTAGAAACACCTAGCCATATTCGAAGTTGGCTTCGCCCTAGACGTGAAAGGTTTAATTTCTGAGGGTTTGGTCCCAAATCTCTCTTTCAATTATTTAATTTAATTGTTTTGATTATTATTTTCCTTGAAGTTACTAACGTGTGTATTTTGTTATTAGAAAGAGGTACGAGGCATCAAAGTAAATGCTTTAATTGTTTTTATTGATGTTATGATGTAGAAATCATGTTTAGATTGTTATTATGATATTCCTAGTATCATGTCTAGGGTAACTTTAATATTAAATATGATTGTTACGATGCTTCCTATGTTCTTCCTAATATTTATGATTGTTAGTATCATGTTAGGGTTAAAGATTTGATTTTTATTACTTAGTGACATGCTAGGGTTTGTTATTAATCTTGTTAGTATCATGCCTAGGATCTTGCTATTATTATGCTTTAATATTAACATGAACATGAACATGATTATGATTATAATGATTATAATTTATGATGATTATTATTATTATTATTATTATTATTATTATTATTATTATTATTTTGATGATTATTATTTTATTTATGATGATTATTTATTATGATTATTATTTTTATGATTATTATTATCTTGATGATGATTATAATTTTGTTGTCATTATTGTGTTGCTTGATTATTTTATTGTTAATTCTTGATCACACCTTTTATGCATGTTTAAAGGGAATTGGTACTTGTAATCACGCTTAATAAGATAATTAATAATCTTGTTAGGGTTAATTTGATTATAATTCAAATGATCGTCGATAATAGTTTATTTGTGCATTAAATTCAACCAACATAGATAAATAGGTTTAGGGTAAACCTATTGATTGCATGTCAGTCAAAAAGCGCACATGAATACGATCAGAATAAAGTAGAGGCCTATTATTAGGGCAGGTTAAATCTCTTTTAGGTTGGATTTGTACCTTCATCCCCGAACCCTTATTTGGTTCAA